CAGGCCAAGTTCAACACCAAGCATTTGTTCTTCCCCTCTGACCCCACTGCCCTTGCAGTAGACTGAGCAAAAACCTGTGGGGTCATTCTTGACTCCTCTCTTCCTCTCACAACCCATGTTTAATTCTTCAATAAGATATATTCTAAATCTGGCTAGCTCTCCTCACCTTCATCACTACCGCTCTGGCCCCTACAGCCTCCCCCATGGCCCAGACCGTTGCAGTCATATCCTAACTCATCTTCTGGATTCCATCTGTGCTCTGCTATGGTCTATTTTCCACTCAGCAGCTCAACTGATCCACTTAAATACAAGTCAGATCTTGTTACTTCTCTTCTCTAAGCTGTCCAGTGGCTCGCCATTTCACTCAGAATAAAAGCCGGTCTTACAAGATTTAACACTCAGCTTTTTCTTGGATTACATCTCTTACCACTTCACTCAGCTCTCTCAGCCTCGGCAACACCAGCCCCGTGGTGCCGGAGCACAGCCGCTCAGGACCAGCCTGCCTCGGGCCAGTGCACATGCGTCCTGCTCCTGAATGCACTCAGTTTAACCCCCTCCAGGACTTGCCCAAATGCCTTCCCATCACAGTGACCTCCCCCCACCACACACACACACACACACACACACACACACACCCCACAATCTCTGACCCTCTACTTTTACCCCTTATCAGTAACTGACATATTACACTTATTTATTTATCTTTTCTCCCCTCTCCACTTGAATGTGAGTGCTACAAAAATAGGATCTTTTTTCCTGGTGTATTCTCATTGCTAAGGAGAGACCTTGGCACATAATAGGTGCTCAGTACCTATTTGTTGAATTGGTGAATACACGAATGAATGAATCAATCAATCAGCCAATCAATGGAAATGTCAAAGCATCTTAAACCCAGCAAAAGGGATTTTTCCAAGAGTTTCCCACTGCACTGCTTTGTTTCTTCTCTCTCTGACTCTCTGGGTTGGCTCCTAGATAAATTCATCAGATAAAGTCATTTTGAGCAAGGTGGATCCTTAGGCCCCTGTGTTGGATATGAGCCCAAATGCCACACTGTGCCTTGCACATTGCCTCCCACCTCCTTCCCCACCTGCTGGCCATGATTCGGCCACTATGACTCCTCCATCTCCCCCCACCCCTTTTCATTTCCAGGAACGCCCCTTGGCTCTAGCCCCCACCTTTTGAGTGATGGGGGCAACGTGGGGAGCATCAGCAGCTGCCTGCTTCTGCCTCTGCCTCCTCCACCGCATGACCCATCAATACGTGGACTCCCCCAGCCTGACCGGGCCCTTGAACTCCAGGGCTGGCCAGGTCCATCTGTGCCACCTTAGGATTTTTGTTCCCTGCAGCAGCTTGGCCATTTGCAAAAGCAAAGATCATAAAAGTGTGGACAGGAAGAAATATACCCTATTTTTCTGATTCTAAGATGCTCCTGCCTGCTCCCAATCCCCACATTTTACATTTCCGACATCAGGAATTGTCTTACTGTTAGTGTCGAGCTGGTGGAAGTCCCCCAAGAGGTTACTATACCCTGGGCCTGTGCCAGTGTGGTCACTTTACCATTCCCAGGGCATGCCTGGTCATCCACACCCTTTGGCGCTCCAGGCTATAGGCCTTTGAAGACCATTTGAAGAAGGAAGTAAACCTAGTCATTGTATAGAAATCTTGGGTAAGGTGAAAATACACAAAACCCACCAGCATCAAGCCATGCAGAATGGAGGGACAGCAACTTGGAAGACCTCTGAACACTTTTATAAGAAACGTGGCCTGAGAGGGGCCCTGGGTGGCTCAGGAGAATATATGGTAGGAAAAACATTAGTGACCAAAGCTCTCAGTTAGAAAGTATACAAGGTCCTTGCTGGGTAGCTCTGTTGATTGGAGCATCATCCCAGGCACTAAAAAATGTCCTATTCCATCCCTGGAGGCAACCAATCAATGTTGCTCTCTCACACTGATGTTTCTCTCTCCTTTCCTCCCTCTCTCTCTCCCTTTCTCTCTCTCTCAAATCAATAAAAGTATCCTCCAGTGAGGATTTTTATTAAAAGAAGTACATAAGAATAGTGAGATTCGGAGTGTGATGTTTCAGGAAGATATTAACCAATTATTTTTAACTTATATTTTTATTTTTTGTATGCCTTAGAGTAATATATGATAGAAGTCTGTCTAAATAATTATCAAAGAGCTTTTGCAAGAAATTTAAATTAAAATTATCAGTGAAAAGAAAACATTGTATCCTAAAGTTTAAATGGTAGCATTTTTCTTTCTTAGTGATATACAAAACGATGGTGCACAATAGCATAAGGGGAGGCCCAGAAAAAATGAGCTGTGGCTCTTAGCCTCAGTTACATAAAACCAGGAACCCCTGGTTTAAAGAAACCTAAGGAATCTACTGTGCAAATGGATTGCTTTTACAACCTGGAGCTCTTTGGGAAGACTACAAATAAAAATCTCAATGTTAATCTAAACGTATGCAATCATATTACAAAGTTATATTTCTTGGGAGATGTTTTCAAATGACTCAAAATTAAAAGATGTCCATGTAATACTGGTTCTATAATTACCCTCACAGATAATGCTACTGACAAAAGTTAATGATGTAGAATCACACTGGTAACAAGTAGGAGGTTGCCAGGCAGATGGAAAGTTTTTGGCTTTGTTTTCTCCCTTTTTTCTTTCTCCTTCCACAATGAGAATCAGCCACCTGTCTGCTAGAATATTTTTGCTTGGAATATTTTTACTTTCCTTGGTTGGAAACACTTGCTTAAATGAAGTAACATGTAAAAGACTTGATTCTAAACTATGGTGATCATCTAAGTTTTATGTGAAATCAAATGGATACTCCATTTGATTTCCCAGTCTGTTTCTCTTGTGACCATACAATCCTCTTCCCAGTGTTGCATGCAGTGTGAGCTACAAAGGGCTCCACATTATACAAATGTACATTAGGGACAAAGGAAGATTGTGTCCATTCTTGCAACTGTTATTGCTCTGGTTTGTGACTTCTATGGGTAGCACAGCAATCCCTTGTTTTAAAAACACACTCACTTTAGCTACTGACTTTTCAATTGGCTACTTAGAGAAGAGAAGGAGGAATCCTTTCCCCTAGATTCTATCTCTTCTGGATAATTCAGTTATTTTTTAGTAGATATAACACAAAATATTACAAGAGCCTCACATAATTCCTAATTGCAGAATTTGTACTTGAACTATGGAGTCTTATTTTGCTCCTTTCACCTTGCCTTTGATCTATGCTTTGCGGTTAATCTGAGGACCTCTATGTACCCTCTTCAAAATCTATGGCTGGTTAGCACTATATATGGTGGAAAGCAGGGTTTTTTTTATTCGTCTGTGGCATAATTTTTCAAGAGAGTTGAAATGCTTTGCAAACAGTTTCTCATTTATCAGCCAATCCATGTAGTGAGCAATGTTAAGTGAATCCCTTCCTTTTTGTATATTGTCTTTCAGTGATTATCATGAACTCATGCCTATACCGTGACCCTGGATTGGGGAGGAGGAGACCCAGGGGTTGGGGAGGAGAGACAAAGAGTGGAAGCTGCCTGCCTGTCCATGGAACAGAAATGACTTCCATGGCAGCATGGTCTCAACACCATCCTTAATGAACCCCTAGAAATAGCAACAGGCTTTTTCTGTTTTGTGCATTTCTTTAGTTAGTACCTGGTAGAATTCGTAAGCCCTTCACATCCCTGTGGATTTACTTCAGAGTGCAAGTGACTTTATGGCCCAATTTCATCCATGTGACATATTGCACTCTTTGTGGGAGGGAGAGGATAGCAAGAGGACAAGACAGACTGATCGCAGGTACTGCCATCAACAGGATGACCACCACACACTCCTGACCAAGGAAAGGGCAGAGGGGACCTTTTCCTTTTGTTGTTTATCAGAGCCCTGAAGCCTGGGCTGTTGTGCTGTATTTTAATAGAGAAGTTTGTCACATATATGAGTGTAGAACATGTTGAAATAGCGGCATTAAGGGTAATGTGTGTTTTGTACGTAATAAATATTTTGAGTTGAAAAGATGTCAAATGTCAAAGACAATGAGGAATGACTATCTGCCCGACTCCAGATGCTGCCACCCTCAAATTACAGGGGTATTGAAGCGAGACTGAGTTAAGCATCTGGCCCCAGAAGGACCGGTCAGGCGGGGTCCTCATTAGACCTCTGGTTTATAGGAGCACGCTGCGCAGCTGAGACCTCAGGGAGGCGGCCGCAGCAGCCGCGGGGCCCCCGCCTGCCTGGAGCGTTTAGGCGGCGCCTGGTTCAGAACCACTGGGGAGGACAGCTCCCCCAGTTCCTCCTTGCGCTGGGCACGCACTGCGGAGGGGACCCAGAGCGCGGAGGGTCAGAGCAGGCCCGCGGGTTCGGGCGGCAGAGAACTCCCTGCCGAAGGAGTTCTACAGACCCTGCCCTAAGGGGCAGCACGGGGCTTGCGGATGGTGGTCCCGGTGACGCGTCCCTGCAGGCCAGGCGACTGGCCAAAGCAGGCGCGGCCCTCCCCCTCCTGCAGGCGCAGCCGCTCGCCCCGCCCCGCCCCGGTGAGGAGGGCGGGGCAACCCGGCGCCGAGCCCGCCCACCCCGCCCGGCTCGGCTCCCCATTGGCCGGAGGGCTGGAGGTGCGAGGGGGCGGGGCCCGCCCCTGGCATCTCGCGCTCGGGAAGGTCGGCTGGCGAGCGCTGGGTGCCGCGGGCAGGGCGTGGGGACGCGGCGGGCGCGGAGGAGACGCAGCGGCAGCAGGATCGGCGGCGCCGCGTCCCAGTCGCAAACCCTGCCACCCGCCGCGGCCCGCAGCCGGCGGCGCCGAAGCTCTGAGGGCGCTTCCCCGGGCGCGAGGCCCGAGGCGGCCAAGACGGCGGGCCGGCCGGGCGCGGGGCGGCGGGCGCTGTGCTGCGGGCTGCGCTGGTGGGGGGCAGCGGGCCGCGGCGCGGGCCCGGGGCCCGGCGCGTGCGGCTGGGAGGCGCTGTGGGGGACCGGCGCGCGGGCGGCGGCCGGGGCCATGGCCGAGGGCGGCGGGGGCGCGCGGAGGAGGGCCCCGGCGCTGCTCGAAGCGGCCCGCGCGCGTTACGAGAGCCTGCACATCTCGGACGACGTGTTCGGCGAGTCGGGCCCAGACAGCGGCGGGAACCCCTTCTACAGCACCTCGGCCGCTTCGCGCTCCTCCTCGGCCGCCTCCTCGGACGACGAGCACGAGCGCCCCGGGCCCCCGCGGGCCCCCAGCGCCCAGCCGCCGCCCTCTGTCCCCGCCGCGCAGGAGCCGGAGGAGGATGAGACCGGCGCGGGCTGGAGCGCCGCGCTGCGGGACCGCCCGCCCCCGCGCTTCGAGGACACCGGCGGTAAGGCGCGGCCGGCGGGGCGGGTGGTGGCCGTTACCCCAGCCGAGGAGGACGGCGTGACTGCTGGGGCGGGAGAATTCCAGATGCTCCTTGGGCCGCCTTGGTCGAAGGCAGCTGTGCGTTTCAGGAAACAAATGAGGCTGCGGGAGCCTGGCTTTAAAGTGCGAGAATCAATCTGACTGCGTGCGAAGGGTGGGATGGGGGCTGCGACTTCCTCGTGGGTGGAAGGGATGAGGCAGAGGCCGGAGCCAGCATTTTGTAATGGCCGGGAAGCGTGGGTGGTGAGCTTCCCGCACTTGCTAAGAGTGTCCCCTTGTCCTACAGCAGAGGCGAGTCACACCTGTGGGCTTGCACCTCAGGGGTGAGTTAGTAGAGGTAGGCTTGCCTAGTTGAGGGGATTCTGCATATCTGACAGAACTTGGGGTGGGGGCGGTCATTTTGCAGTGATTGCTCCCGGCAAGGCCTGCCCAGGTGCCAGGGGTGGGGCAGGTAGCTGTTGGAACAAGGGCCAGCAGCATCCGAACCAGCATCCACCCAAGGTGTCTTCACCAGGTTTTAGTTTTCTCCAGTTAATCTGAGAAACTTTCGCTGTCCACACCATTTAGGATCTCTTGCTAAGAGCTGGAGAGAGTGAAAGGACCAGTCTAGCAGCACTAAGGTGCCGAGGACACTGTCACTGGTGTTCCGCCCACCACCTTGACCACAGATTGGCGCCTGATACCCGGAGAAGGTCGCAGGGGTGCTGGCAGATAGGTGACTTCTTGAGAGTCTTTTTACTGCCTGCTTTTTCTAGAGTTGAGCTTTTAAATATCACTACTTACCCAGTGGAGGCTCAGCAGCCTCTGCCCTCTTTGAGATGTGGGGACCAGCCCTTTCCAGGTGGCCTCTGATGCTTTTTTTCCTAGCTCTGTGACCTGCGGTGGCAGGCCCTGACTCTGCACACCGTTGTCATGGGTGAAAGTGTGTGCAGCCCGTGTTGTCGAGGGCCAGGGAGTGGCCACCCGGAGCACGATGGGGCTGACCGTGATGTGGCTCTTCTGTGGCTCTCCCTGACTGTTGCTCGATCAGACGGGAATCCAGCACCCAGGAGGCAGGCCCAAGGGACCCTTGGCTGGCCCTGGACTTGAATGTGGGCATGAGGCTGCAGCCTGCTGGTAGGCCGGTTGGGTTGGCTGGACTCTCTCAGCAGGGAGCGATCTGCAAACCTCGGGCAGGCAGGCTGCAGTGTGGATGTGCTACGTACGCTGCATCTGAGCTTATAAAATCCATTTTAGCGAGGCAGTGCTTGGGGGTGGCTAAATTTAAAAGCATGTTCTCATTTGGGCTTCAGCTGAGTTTTGGAATTTTCAAAGTCAAATCACTCTGCAAACTGCTTTTACATCCCCTATATTTCTTCTAATGTCATTGGGTCTCCCAGTCCTGGACAGCTGTTTTCCACATTGGCTCTTTAAGAATTGTACCTACTCAGAACCCTGGTCGGGCAGACTCGATGCTAAGAGTATCTGTGATCCAGCTTTTCATCTTGGAACACTTGAGATGTCCACCTGGGAGAGAACACAGCAAGGCTCCCTATGTCTCTGGGGAAATAGTGGAACTGTGTCAGGTTAGCCCAGTTAGGAAGAAGATTGATGAGCACGCTGGTGCGAGAGGATGAACACATGGAATACATTTTAAACAATATTGTATTTCTTAGTAACCTATAAATGGGAGAAATTCTGTAGCGGAGCAATTTAATCCAGCCACTGCAGCACTTAAATGGTCACCAAGAGCAGTATTGGGTGTCATTTGGCATTAGGTTCAAATTCTGTTTCCTTCAGGCGTCCACAGAATCCACGCCTGAACCTGAGAATCACAGTCAGGCACTTTAATGGAAGACATTAGTGGTTATCTGATGGTAGCTACACCCAATTTTGTTTTCCTGTTGTGTGTGGGAGTTTACTTTTGAAATCCAGCTCTAATGAAGACTTTCTTTTCCTCTGTGTACTAACACCCTTGTCCGTAAGGAAAATTTGGGGTGGAGGTAGAAGGATGAGGTCGATGGCTTATTAGGCATGAATTCAGATGCTCTGAAACAATGCAGTATGATTTATGGGGCTGAAAATAGATACAGAAATTGTGGCTGCTCCGAGAAAGTCCTTGTGCCTAGTGGTGTGGAGAGAGATGGATGTTTTTATTAAGAGGCCATGAGCTGCTCCCTGGCTGCTCTGAGAGCAAGGAGGTTCACCCTGTTAGGTTTATCCAAGTACAGTGTCTAAGATGCTCTGGAAGAGTGTGCGCCCCCTTTCAAGGAAGGCAGCCTGGCTGTCTCTTCCATCTTTGTCCCCCAGTTTATTAACACATCTCCCTGGACTGGTAGAGTGAGGTGGGGAGCGAGAAGAGGGTGGTATTTTGATCTGTAATCAACCTTCCTGATAGAACATTTGTAATGGAAATTGATGTTGCTGATAGAATCAGATGAGGAAAGCAAAGGGTTCTGGTCTACGGAACAGGCTTCCTGCCTGCCTTCGGTTGTACATACATGTGCACGTATATGTGTCACCAATGTCTTATGTGTCGCTGCATTGCATGCGTTGGTTTGGGCTGAGTAGGGTATCTTTTTTCAGAAAGAGGTTGTGACTGCTGTTTGGCAGCTCTCTGATGACCTAGAACCTTTTTTAGAGAATCCCTGGGCGTGAGGAGGGTGTAGCACTGGGTAACCATTGTACCTTTGGTCTGCATTCAGAAAGGGGTGGGGGACATTTGGTGCCCAGCTGAGAGGAGGAGGGGAAGGAAGAGGTAAGCATCTCTGTGGTTAAGGTAGAGGCTCCTAATTGCTCTCCAGGCGGTTCCAGCCTTCAAAGACTCTTTCTTTTGTTTGTTTGTTTGTTTTTCAGTGTACTGAGCTTCCAGGATCTGGCTCTCCAGAGTGCAGCCAACAATTATGGGTGGAGGGGGTCCTCTCCCTCACCCTTCTCTCTCCTTCCCCAGGTTCTGCCTCTGCCTTGTGGTGTGGGGTCCCGAGGGATGATTTAAATACAAAGACTGTGCCTGCAGGGCTGGCTGACAGGCTTTTAACCCTGTATAGATGGAGGGTCAGCCTGGGAGCTGAAGCTGCTTAATGGGAGCTCGGGGCCTGACCCTCTTCCCACCAGACTTTGCAGCGAATCCCCTAAAGTAACCCCTGCAAGCTGTCCGCCTCTCTGCCCACTCTGCAAATAACCAAGACAGTGTGCAAGCACATTCTTTGAAAACTGCATGAGATTCAGGCCTGGCTGCTTTTTGGGCTCCTGCCCTTTTGGTTTTTTTTTTCTTTTTCTTTATTCTGGCAGTCTTGTGATTTGTTCTCTCTGAGGAGGCAGAGGAACAGGCAGACTCACAGATGCTCGGGGCTGCGGTCTGTTCTGCATTGCCGGTGCTCTGCCAGGCCGGCTGGGATCTGAGCTGCCTGCTCTTTCTATTAGAGGTTCGACTTCACAGGGGTTTCATTCCCCGTGCTCCCTGTCAGCAGCCCTCTGTAATCATTCAGTGACGGGGTATGACCTTGAGAAGCTGGAGAGGAACACATGGCTTTGAAAATTAACACCGTTAAATGTTTTATCTTTAGAGTTCTTGTTGGTTCATTTGGTTTAAAGTCTTTCTGACTAGCAAGCAAGAAGAGAAAAATCTTTCTCTTAAAATGAGAATTTGCCATGACCCTCTACTGTCCTGGGATTTCTGAGCAGATTTGGACCCCCCCCCCCAATCTGGGGTGTGAGGTATATCCTGCCTTAGCTCTGTGGCTCCAGGAACTCGAATCTTGAATCTTGGTCGCTGTGAGATAAATCTCATGCAGTGTTCTACAGTACTCAAGCACATGCCAGGCCACAGAAACCAAAGGGGGCTTCCTGGGGGAGATGTATGCTTTTTCCCAGGAGTCTGCACATGTGTGAGGGGAAACCAGAGCTCCCAGTGAGGATGAAGACCCGAGTTCGAGTCTGGACCCTGCTTTCCCAGCCCTCCGAGGTTGGGAAGTGGTCTCCCTTCACGGAGAATGGCAGATGGGTCTTTCCAGGTGGGGTCTGGAGCTGATGAGATGACAGGGGTAACGGTGGCCCTCCAACCAGTCAGACTGGATTATTCAGGAAAGGTGGCCCCCCACCCTTTTATGACACCTAGAACTTTTCACTCAAAAATATTTATTTTTCCACTCAAAAGTATCTATCTTCATATTTCTACATGGACTTACTTTTAGCTTTTTAGGGGGGTAATGTCTAGTTCTGTGAGGTCTAACCACGTGTGGATAGACAGGCGTAACCTGCCCCACTGACCGGATGTGAAATGGCAGACAGAATGTGGTCCAGCTGCTGACTGGATCCCTGCTATCCCAAGCCAAGCTGCTGGGATGAAAGGCTGGTGCTTTTTTGCAGGGACTGGGCTTTGAGTACATTGGCATCCTGGGGGCTGTGCAAGGCCTCCTACTCAGTGTTGAATTCAAAAAGTCTATGGTATATATTTTCTTCTATTAACAAGTAATATGTGTTCATTTTACAAAAACACAAAAAAATAAAAGGATAAGAATTCCCATGATCTCCCCGTACCCAGAGGTGATCACAGTTAACAGACTGAGTCCACCCTTCGTGTAGTTGAGATTACGCATTGGCGGATGGCCTGCTTTTCAATTATAATTAATACATTGTGAACATTTTCCACTTAAATTTTAACATGTCGTTTCAATGAATCCGTAATACTGTACAGCTCCCTTCCAGTGGACGCAGCGATTATAGCCCCACCCCCATTTATTTACATATATATTTATTTGTTTATGTTTATTTTGCTATGGCGAATGTTCTTGAAGCTTAAGTTTATGTGCACATCCTTAACATAGTCCTTAGCATACAATGATCAAAACAGAACTGAATTAAGGATTTTGCACATTTTAAGGTTGTTGATATGAACTGTGAAGTAGCCTTCTAGAAGTGCACCTCCCGGAAGTGCACCTACTGGAAGTGCACCTCCCAGAAGTGCACCTACCGGAAACGCAC